GAAACCACATATCAATTTCATGGCGGCAAAACTGTGAAGAACCCCGGCGGATGAAGAAGTGCAAATAATGAGTACTAACGTTGTTTCAGGGGACTTCATGATGAACAAAATTATTAAAGATCGTTAGGATAAATGGTTCTGTCCATCACGAAAGTCCCGGATCCCTCTTGGTTCATTTGACATTAGTTGTGTGTTAGGGATAGAGAGTATATAAAAATCAGTTGTGGTCATGTGTCAATTATATTACAGACAACCTGTTGAGAACCAAAATCAACTGAAACAGTAATAATAAAATACTTGTAGATGCAGTATATTTTTAAAATAGGATATCCCTTCAAATTTTCATTTTGATAAAATAACCCTCCAGAGCAAACAAAATTGTTTGAAATATTCTTGTTACTCCTGAGAAACACTGTTTAGTATCCCAATAATTATCTTATTGGGGGCTGGAAGGAGGCGAGAAAAGTCAGTCCTTTTGGGGATGGAGTCAACAAGTTTTCATAAAAATAGAGACTTTCACCTTTTTTTGAAGTGACGTATTGAATGATGCTTTTTTAATTGGTCCTTAATGCAACCAACATGTTTTCTATTTAAGTTTTATGAAGATCAGTGGGAGAAAAAAAAAAGAGGAAATTTGACAACACAGTAGTAAGGGAGAGAATTGTCTTAATGAGAATAATTGATGAGATGGGCATGATTTTAATCTTTCTATACAAATTTGAGGACATTTTATATTAAAGCTAGTAAAATGCTGGAAACACTTCTAACAGTGCATCTTATTTTTCTTATCAAAAGTATTGTCCCAGTCTCCTGATATCGTCAACATCCTGTTCAGTTTTTCAGTGTTAACTGCGAATTGTTTTCATCTGGTATAAAATACTTTATTTGGTGTCATTTTTTGTTTTCAGTTGCACATGTGCTGATGGAGAACTCGGTCTATTTCGCCTCCTTTGTTGTGTTAGGTCTCAGTCCAGCAAAGAACTTACAAGTGCAAATAACTTTAAACACACATTCATTCTTGACTCAAGAAAAGGTGGATGTCAGATAGGGGCTCTCTAGCGAGTTGGATGCATCGTTGTTCTGATCCATCTCTGTGGGTCCTTCTCGTCCTTCAGGAAGGCGTTTGGGCCAGTGCGGTGCTGGGTGTGCAGCACTGCTAGAGCACAGGCTGTGGTTCAGGTTACATCACAAAGTGTTTGTTCCTACTTCTCTTCAGAAGGCTGCACAAAACCCAGGAGGATCAAGAATTGTACTGAAATGCTGTATGTATGTGTATATATATATATTCCGTATTTTAGTAAAATGGTAAAACAGTATATGGTGTCTAATCTACACCAAGTTTACTGACTTCTGCAGAGTGGTCTTGTGCTTGGGACAGCCCCTAAGTAGAAAGAGGTAAGGGAGCATCTTACTGATTATTGAGTTCTCCTACCTGTTAAATGCATAATATTGATTGTAATTATTCAGACAGGACAGAGTATGCAGAGCGCTGAGGATACAAAATCTGCTCATCAAGGGTGTTACTGAGAGTTTGCTTCTTACTAAAAGAACCTGAAAGTAAGGCCCTGATGTGACATGCGTGTTGTCATATGTCAGAATCCCGGTTTATTCAGTCGGGCTGTTCTTGTCATTGAATCAATATTCTTACGCTGGCTCTGAAGCCAAATTAAATGAATGCTTGACAGGGTAAGGGCCTTAAATTGTGTTAATCTGAGAGTGTATTTTAATTGAAAAATACAGTGTATGTAGAAGTGGTTGTAAAGGTTAACAGTACCTGTTTCAACATCTTTTTAATAAATTTGATAGTAGTTTGTGATGTAACCTGGTGCAGAGGAAGGCCACTAGCACTTTTCTGTAGCCCGAGGAGGAAAAAAAAAATTAAGCGTAGTATGAGCGAAACCAGTAAAGGTGTCTCTGTTCATGGATCCTTCACATGAAATGGGCTTTTTACCCTCTTGCATTTTGCTTTTGTTCATAGTTTTCCTTTAGTAAAGTATTTGTATTATATATGAAAAGTTTTGACAACATATTATGAAAAATATATATTTTGGGATTTAGTATTTAAACATACCACTGTTATGGTGAATAAAATGAAATGGCTTCTGTCATGTGTAAAAGTAAATACATATATACTCTTGAAAGTACTATCACCTCTAATTTGAACAGATTATATAAATCAATTGGAACAGCAGTGTATTTAACACAAGCTCACAAATCATTTTTTCCAGAGGAAAAAATGTAGAATTTCAAAGTTCTGTGGCTGGATGTGGAAACTCAGATAGTTTTCTAGCAACTCCTAATTGCTTTTAAGTGTTCTCCAGCATTTTACAGTTTCTGAGTTTGGTATAGCAGTAAATTTTGATAAACTCAGGCATACTAATGGGTTCATTTTAATGGATCCAAAGCTGCAGTGTCTACAAGCAATAAAAAACTACCTAGAATACACTGTAATTCAATTTTAGTGCTTGTTAATTAGTTTATGTAAGAAACCATAAATTATTATTACATAACTGTAATTTTTGCAAGTGCTATTTTAAGCAGTTGATGTGGAATTGGGTGCATGTGACACAGCCAGTATGACAGAGTGCTAGAGTTATCCTGTTTACAATAAACAATCTGAATTTAATGTTTGGAGTTCCTAATTTGTTTCATTTTAATTTTTTGCATACTGGTAATGTTACATCTATCAGTCTGTGCATGTTTCCCGTTAGACGTTAGCTCTGGTTTTCTGCTATCCAGTTGCCTGGACGAGTTCGGCTGAATAGCATGGCTGGAGAAGTGTTCCCGGTCACTTCCAGGGACGTTTCAGAGGACTTCCCCACACCCTTTAGGTAGATGCACCTCTGTTGCTCTCCGAGTGTATGAAAAATTTGCACAAGACAGGATTTTGATCATCCAGTCTGAAATGGTAAATTCAGACCATCGCTGCAGCCAGACTGAATCGTGCCTAGTGCAGCCTTACAGCGTTGCTTTTGAGAAAATCCTTTCCCTGGTCATTTTCTTTGTTTTATGCACACCAAAAGATTGTTTGGAAAGATTAGGGGCTAAGTGCAGTCGTTAGAACAGTGAAGTGTCAGTTCTGGATTGTGACGGTGTAAAGGTACAAGTCAGCAGGCACTGCTGTTGTTGCAGTGGGGCTCCTTGAAGTGATGTCTGACAGCAGTGTTAGGAGAGACAGCTTTTGTCCTTGGCACTGGGAAGTTGGTGCTCTCAGCAGAGAAAGAAAACATCTGGAACCCACCTGGAAAACGATTTGTCCCCGGCATCAGGGCTCTCTTTCTCCACTCCCAGTTGTTAGGGATTGGTGTAAATCTTGACTCACTGGCTTTGTTATCTTTTGCAAAAAGTCAAGCTATCCAAATTTACTTTGACCATTACCATTAGCCATAAAAAATGCATTAGCTTTTTCAGAATATTATTTAAGTGCTTGCACGTGTACAGCCATTACCGATCGTGTGTTCAACAGTGTAATCATGATGGTGGAAATAGCATTACACACCTTTTAAGCTTCATTTATTACTTTCTAGCTCTTGTTTGAACACAAAGTCACCAGAATTTCAGAGTCTTTACCATTTAACTGGTTAGTATGCTTTTGCTATAGCTCCGCTGTAAATCGTTACCTTCTACACCTTTCTTGATATGTTTTTTCTATATTTTTTACAATAGCTGACCATCAAACTGCTATGGTCATTACAGTGGGACCCGTGTCCTTCACTTGAGCTGATACTTAATTTGATGCTCAAATCCAGCTCTGAAATACTTAGTTTTCAAGTCAGGTTTTAATATGGTTGCTGCATGCTGCGCAGTACAAGGCACCTCTGTGCTATTTTAAAGGAAGCGGAGATCAGAAACTCGGGCACCTTTCTTACCTTGTAAGTAATTTCAAAAGAACACTGCCCTATGTAGATTCTGCTGAAAGGCTTTTATTTGAAGCATTTTAGAGTCTACTTACCATTCAGAGAATGTACTTGTAAGTTATAGCATGTGCTGTTGGTGGAACGTAACGCTAATAGTATGTGAAATCTGAATTGCAGTTTGAAGGAAGACTGTGTGTGTAAGGCCAAAGGCCCAGCAGAATGGGAAATGACACAAGTAATCCAACTTATTTGAACTCGAGCATCTAAACAGAATTCAAGACTGAAAATATTTATGGTTTCTTAAAGTAATATTTCTGAGCCGCCCCAGGGTTGTTAACTAAAAGCGCCGTATTAAAGGATGTAGACACAACACTGCTGAGCATTTGCTGCTGTTAAGTTTTAGGACTCCCTCTTTAGCAAAGCAACGCAGAATTCTGAATTAAGTTTCTTGATGTTGTGCAATGGGTGAGGGAAGATGCACAGCTTCAAGTGAAGTTCAGGTTACTGCTGCACTGAGCAAGGACGTGACTAGGCTTAGCCAGTGAGAACCTCTGGTGAGAGGCATCCAAGTGTAAATCCTGCATCTTCCTGACGATTCACCACCACCTTGCTGAGTGTTAGATGCGCTTCCTTCTGCTCCAGTTTTCCATTACAGCTTTTCGCTGCCTGCTCTGCTTCCCTTTCAAGAAGGGGAGCATGGATTCGTGGTACTTTTCTAGCAACTGCCAAAGATGTGAACTGGAGCAGCAACTGGAGCTCAGGACCCCCTTCCAGCCCTCCCCTCCACCCGTACACGTGGGGTCCCATGGTGCGTGTGGGTGCACGCATGCACGTACTGTGGTGGTGAATGCTTACTCGACAAAAGTAGAACAGGTTCCACAGAAGGGAATGAGGAGGTCCTCGACCTACGTTACTGACCTGGGAAGTGGGGAAAATGGGCCAGAGAAAATTCTAATAGAAGATGGAAATTAAGTCCATTTTTTGGTAACTGGCACTGAGTTGCAGCATAGAAGAACATGCTTTTTATGTGAAGTCTGTTGTAAAGGATGAGCTCCTGTGATGGGAGAAATAGAAGGAGACCTGCTTGTGAATTCCAGGGAGATGTAGGA